ATCCTCCTGCCTCACCTTCTCCTCCCAAGTAGCTGGGACTACAGGAGTGCATCACCATGCCTGGCTAAATTTTTTATTTCTTTGTAAAGACAAGGTCTCGCTATGTTGCCCAGGCTGATGTCAAACCCTTGGGCTCAAGCGATACTCCCACCTCAGCCTCTCAAAGTGCTAGGATTACAGGTGAGAGCCACTGCATCTAGCTACCACCAAGCCTGGCCATGACTGTATTTTGAGAGAGAAAGAGACACCACATTCACATAACTTTTATCACAGTCTGTTGTTATAATTGCTCTATTTCATTGTTAGTTATTGTTGTTAATCTCTTACTGTGTCAAATTGATAAATTAAACTATATCATAGATAAGTATGTATAGGAAAACTACAGTATATATAGGCTTCAGTACTGTCCAAAGTTTCAGGCATCCACTGGGGGGTTCTTAGAACGTATCCCCCTTGGGTAAAGAGGACTACTGTACTAAAATTTTTGTGCTCAATAAGCTTGGGTTGAATACCACATTTGTAAAATACAAAGCATGTTCCTTTTCCCAAAAGGAATTAGGGCTTCATTTCTTTGGTTAAGAGTGGCTTGGCTCAGAGTATTTCCTATGACACATTGGGGTAGGTCTTTGTTTAATATCAAAACATACATATCCCATAAAACAACACCTTAAGAGCTAAACCACTGTTTCTTGCAACACCTTTCAAATCTCAATAAGGAAGAGTTAACTATGACCTTCGAGAAATTATCTTTGCCTCAGGGTAACTTTATAAAGAATAAACCCTCACAGTAATAGAAAACTAAAAATTCTGTTTTAAAAAAAAAAAGTTTTCATTAAGAATAGAACTTTTCCAGGGCAGGGAACCCATCTCTTTGGAGACCACAAGATGCTTTTGCTTCTCCAGAAACCATGTAAAGACCCATTACCTCTAGCACATCTAAAGTGGGGCACAAAGGCTTTCTGATCCACTCAATGGAGGTGGCAACTCTCCCCCATTAGCTAATAGAAGAGAAAAAGAAATCACTTGAGAATCCCAGAGTGGCAGCAAAATAGAACCCCTGGGATACCTCGCTAGCACATTCAAAGACTTATCAGTCACTTTTAAAGTCAGTCACTTTATATCAGTCCCAGTTGATGGCTTGGTGACAACAGTTTAGATTTTTCTGGATAGGTACACACATACATGACCGAGAAGGTAGAGTGAAACCCTCAATAAGCAGACACTTTGTAGTAGGACCCAGAAAACAGCAACCTCTTACAACATGGTAGGTCCTCTATATTTTTACCCCCACCTAGAAATCCATAATCTGAGATAAACTGGACTACCACGAAAGAATGAACAAGCCTCCAGAATAGCACCCAACCGTTAGGAGTTAGAGCAAAACTCACACTTTAATGTGGAGAGGAAGGGACTCCAGCGCAGCTTCTCTAAAGCAGCTTTCCTCAGTGGCATTCGTTATTACGCAGCCCATCACTGTGGGTCAGATGTCAGGACACAGCACCAGCTTCCATTTGGGGGCTGCAGCTAACAGTTGTAAACCTTTCTGCCCACCGTATTCTGAGGCAATTAAAGAAGGGAGAGAACTATAGGAGAAATGCCCCCCACCGTAACACCACCACGGTCCGTTTATATGTCCTTCAGCTTTTGTCTACATTATCTTACGAGACCCTCACGAGAGACGCCTAATTTCCAGGATGCTGCCCTGCTCCCTGAGGTTTCGGGAGGAGAGGCAGGAGGGTGGTGTGGTGCAGAGCCCAGGTTCTGGCACCAGCGAATCTGCATTCCAATCCAAGCTCTGCCACCTACTAGCAGTCTGATCTTCTGTGAGTTCTTTAATCTCCCCCTAAACCTGTTTCCTCACCTGTAAAATGGAGGAAAATATAGTCTTACCTCACAGACTGATAGTGATGATTAAATGAGATGATGGACATAAAACACTCAAATTCATTTACTCAAAATATATGAGTGCCAGGCACAATGCAAGAGTTACAACAGTGACCAAGAAACACAGTCTTGCTCTTGTGCAGTTAGAATTTATTCAAACTGTAGATAGAAAAATGTGAACAGGTAAATAAAACACAAAGTGTGTTAAGAACTATTAAGGTAACAGGTGAGTGACCAGAGCGAGTAACCAGGAGGGGTGATTTTTAAGAGTCGTCTCTGAGGAGGAATTTCAGTTGGGCCCTAAGGGGTCCGAAGGAGCCATCCATATGAACAATGGAAGGAAAAGCATTCCAGGCCTAGGGAACAGGATATGCGAGGGTCACCACATGGGGAATTCTAGGAACCTAGCAAAGGGAAACGTGACCACAGAGTTTCCTCTCCCAGAGTCCAGAGAACAAACTTTATAGGCTGCCACTCGTGAGGATTACCACATCCATTTTAAAAATAACAAAGATGAGGCTCCAGAGAAGTGGTACGTCTTGCCCAAGGTCACAGCTACTCAGAGGAGGAGCTGGGCCTGGGACCCCTCAGTACTCTACCTGTGGACACAGCGTAAGCCCACTCTCTCTGAGGAGGCCTGGTGCACACTGAACTCCCCCACTTACTTCACTGACGACTGTTCTCCGTGCCTATGAAGAGCTCCAAAAGCACCCTGAAAACAGAATCATATCAACTTCCAGGCATCTAGTCAATTGTGCACAGAAATCCTCACACTTCTAATCTTACAACATGAAAGCGAAAGCTGCTCAGACCTTACTCAAAGGCTACAAAGTAGAAACAAGTTTTTCTTTTTACAGCAATGAACAAGAGAAGAAAGGGATGTCCCAGAAGATCCTGTGGCCTGTTCCAGGTGGTGAGATGGAACCTCCGCTGCAAATGAAGGCTCAGCTCAAATGAACTGCACAGGAGAAGCTAATTACTTTATTTGAAGAAAAGAAGGAATCCCTAAAGCAACGGTTTTCAATCAGGGCGGTACCACCCCCCTCAAAGGGCATTTGGGAATTTGGGAGGGCATTTTGGGGTGACACACTAACTGTAGCATTTAGTAGGTGGGGCCAGGTATGTTCGACATCTTGCAAAAGGACAGGATGGCCCTACATAGTAAAGAATGTATTACCCAAAATATTAATAGCAGCCTCCCACACACACTTTTGACATCCTTCCCTAAAGGATTAATATGCTCCAACTTTCCCTGCATCCCCATGGTTCAGTGGCTCTCCCTACCCTCACCACAAAGTAGATGAAAAAAATTAAGGTTTCACAGCTAAGGAATGAAATTTTGGAATCCAATTATAAGCTCAAAACTCCAGGGTGCAACCTGGTAGTGGAAAAAGGATAAAGAAATTTTTAGTAAGAGACAGACCTAAGAAATTTTAGCAAAAAGAGAACTCCCTTTCTTTCTCTCCCTCAAGCCTTTATAAGATTACATGTTTTTCAACACACAAAATTCTGATTTTAGAGAAACTTCTTACCACGTTTTTCAGTTTAAAACCAGATACTAATTACGGTTTTTTAAAAAACTTAACCACGATCATCTCACAAATACAGCTGACTCCTTCTAGGCTAAATTTCATAAGAAAGATTATAAATTTCAAGATGCCTGATGCTGATCAATGCCTAAAAATGCCAAAGGCAGTCATCCCTTGCATCTCATTCAGAGCAGAGTTTGATGAGGTCAGTGAAGCTTCAGTGATATCCGGAGGTCTTTTCAGGGATTAAAATACCATCCTAACAATTCAAAAGCCACTTGCAAGTGTTACCTTAAATTAGTCACTATTTCCCCCAAGAAATTCTTTCACAAATTATAGTTTACAATTGGCAAAAAAAAAAAAAAAAAAAAAGACTATTTGCAGGGGAGAAAAAAAGAGATATCCAAAAAGTTGACCTTGTTTCACAGTATCTAAAATAGTGATCTGACAAACATATCCTCTAGAGTACCTTAAAGGTAGGAGCAATCTATCTCCTACACAGTATCTAAATTTTCCTACTCACCCAAAGGACTATGAATATGTAACTTCTTTGCTCAACTTGCCAATTAGGAAATAGCGGCCCCACAACCCTTTTGGCCAATTTTCTAGAAGCCTGACCTAGCTTCTCAGGATAGCCAAGCAGACAGACCTGTTTTCCTCCAGAAGCGCCTGCCAGGCCTTTTCTGCCCTGCCCATCAGAGCCTGGGAAATCCCCCTCCAGCCTTTCCTGGCCTGTCACCAAAAGTTCACAAAATGAATTCATCCAGATTCTTTGAATCCTCCTCTTTCCCTGTCATGTGCCAACAGCCAGGCAATAACACTCCACCTTGCCAGGCTCTCTGTTACGAAAAGATGCAAATTCACGGCAAGAACAAGCATTTAGCATGGAGAATAAAAAAGATGGAGGGATGAGAGTCTTTGAGCCAATACTACTGCATGCAGCACTGGTGACCAGAGCCCAGGTCCTGCAAAGCCCCCAGAGGCTCCCCAGCTGGTCCCTCCATACAGCAGGCCACACCTGTCTATGCTAGCCGCCTGCCGGCTGCTCCATTTTAAACAATTCAAACCCATCTCCAGCAGGGTGGCAAAATTGGGCAGCCTTCTCTCCCAGCAAGGGTGAGAACCTTAATCCAATCACCACTTGCCCTTAATATTATTTTCCTTTCACACTCTTTGTTTAGGAGACACTGCTTGGTCAAACTGGATCCATCTCTCTATTAATGGTGAGGCAGGCACAATGCTGCAGTGGCAGAATGGAGGCACCAAGCTGACTCGCTCTAAGCCAACAAGACCTCTTCTCTGAGGAGGGTGATGCCAATAAATGAGACTTCAATAAGCAGGTTTCACTCTGTCCATCCACAAGTGAACACACGCCCGGAGTCCTAAAACGCCCGGCTCCGCAGCCAGCCTCGCAGTGAGCCTCTTTTCTAGAGGGTAGGTATCCCATTCATCCCTTGGCATCAGGAACCAAAAAGAAGGCAGATACATCCAGGTCGTGCACTACATACCCAAACCTTGGCACGCACGCGAAGGTTTGGGCGCCCTGAGGCGCCCTCCCTCCGAGGCCTCCACTACCCGTGTACTCACCACTGTGCGAGCTGAACCACCTGGGTGCGATGTGCAGAGGTAGAGCATCCGCCAGCGAGGCTCGAGAGCCCAGGTACAGCATCCCGTCTCTATGGTGACCGCCGCCCGTCTCCTGGTAACCATTGCCATGGGCATAGGTAGAGTCGGACGCGGACCCTCCGCCGCCGGGTGCCCTCTCAGAGTCGCCGGTCCCCCTGGATGCGGGAGTGTAGAGGCCAAAGGGCACCCCCCCGGCCGTGCTGGGGTCCATACCCATGCCTGCCACCGAGCTGACCGAGCGGCTGCGCAGCCCCATGGCCCCGCCGCCAGTCCGGTAGTGCCCAAAGTGGGGCGCCCCTCCCGGCGGAGGCACAGCGCTGTCATCGGTGGAGACCCCCGGGAAGGGGCCCCGGGAGCGGGCCGCTGTGCTCTGCTTGCCCCCCATGCTCGCCCGGGCCCCGGTGGGGCGGGAACCTGGAGGCCGAGACCCTCCCCCACTTATCGGCAGCGGGGGGAGGGCTGGGCGAGCATAAAGGGGAAGGGAGTCAAAAAGGAGACAGGGAGGGAGAAAAGGCAAAAAAGAAAAAAAGAAAAGAAAACCCGCGGGGCGCAAGAGGCAGGCGGGCGGGGATCCCAAACTAAGAATTTCAAACGATCCAAGCCAAACGCATGTTTTCCCTCAAGGTCCAAAGAGGCGCAGTCCGGCGCGGGCTCCGCGCGCCACAGGCCGCCCCCGGGCTCCAAAAGCCGGGGGAGCCGCAGCGAAGGAGGGAGGGAGGCGGCGGTTAGCGGCGGGCGGGCGCAGGGAGGCGCCGGAGGAGGCCGCCCGCCCGGGAGGAGGAGGCGGAAGAGGGCTGGGGGCGCGTCCCCCGCCTCAGGACGCCGCGACCATGGACGGCAGCCCGGACCCCTCCAGGCCTCGGGCGGGCCGCGGCGCTGGGCGGTCAGGCGGAGCTCGGGAAGCCGCGGTCGCGTCGCGTCGCGTCGCGCTCTCGCTCCAGCCGCCGCCAGCCCCGCCAGCCGCGCCGCGCCGCTCGGTCCCGGGCTGCGCTCGCCGGCGCTCCTCGCCGCCGTGGAGACAATGGAGGGAGGCAGAGCGCAGGCGCGGCCCGGGCCCCCTCCGCCTCTCCCCCGCCGAGTTAACCCCTTCGCGGCCCTTGCGGCGCTGGGCCGCTGATTCCCCAGCCGTCCCCACCCACTCACCCCCGGCCGGCCTGTGACCTGGGTGGCTTGGTGGCCTGAGCTACTGGGCGTCAGCAACAGAAGCGAGATGTTTTCTCAAAGCAGTAACTTCCTATGTCCCCGAAAGTGGCTAATTATTCAGGGGGAACCAGATATGGGGGAGGGGCACCAACGGTTCAGGGGGTGGGAAGGAAACACCACGAGGAATGAAAATTACTCAATAACGCCTACCTGCCTCTGAGGGTCACTGGTCGAGCGCCCCTCCTGGCACAAATTTGCCCCCACAGCACCCTCTGGTGGACGTGCTGTCCATTATTTCGGAGGTTCCCCATCCAAGGACCCCTAACGTCTGGAAGCTTAGCATTTGGGGGGCGTTAGCTGTTTGGAGGTAAACAGCGCCCTGGGGGCATTTGTGAATCCCCCCAGCTTTGCTGACCTTAGATAAGAACGAACTTCTTATGTTGGGCTTAAGCAAGTGAGTAGATTCCTTGGCTAAAAAGTAATCCTCAAAATCAATAGGTATATGTTAAAAAGTGAAAAGATACAGATACGGAAATAAAATAATGCAGCTAGATGTGATTTTAGAAACTCCCTTGTCCAAGGCTGAACCCTTGTTTTGTTTGCCATGTGCTATATAAGGGCATACACCACAGGGCCAAGGACACAGTGGGTACTCAATGAATATTGTTAACCAAGTCAGCACTTTGCAATTTGAGAATCCCTTTTCCACCTCAATCCCTGTCTATCTCAAGTATTCACACTCATTCATTCACTGAACAACTATTTTCAAGTGCTAAGTGCTGGCTATGAGCATCATCCAGTCCCTGGCCTAACTGACTTTGTCTTCTTAAGTGTCCCCAGGTACTTCCAAACCAGGGAGCCAAAACAGTGTGAGGAAGTATTAAAAGAAAACCCAAAAGAGAAGGGCTGGCCTGTCACAGATATTGATTATTTCAGTGTGGCCAGCCTGAAAAGAAACAGGAGGAAGGGTGTTTGCAAGCACATAGTAGAGTGCCTGAAGGTTAGCAAACAGCCCTACAGAAGGCAGCTGAAAGTTTTGTATGAGAAATGAAAATAGGAAAAAACCAAATGTGGCAATATCCAAGAAATTTCCTGTATGTGCCTAAATGAGGAAGTTGTGCACACCTAAAATACAAATGAGTAATCTGAAGAAAAACAAGGAAGCTTAAATTTAACCCGGTTTCCTCCTAGAAGAAAGACTGGTAACAGAAGAGGGGTGGTTCAGTACTGTGCCCCCCCCAAAAAAAAACGTAATAGAGCCCTTGACAGATCCCTATTGGGGAGATAAATGCATAATAACCATTGTAACCATCCGACTAGCTTTTGATTTAGCTATTCATCCAACACTTTTTTAGTGTATTTAACAAAATATTTGGTATTTAATAAATTCCCAGCACTGGACTAGGTTCTGGGATACAGTGGTGAACCAGACAGATGGAGTCCCTGTTCTCATAGAACTTCAGAAGAACCACTTTATGTCCACCTGAACAGCTATAATCAAAGAGAAGTGTTATCAATAGCAAGTGTTAGTGAGAAGTGGAGAAATTGAAACCTCATACCTTGCTGGTGGGAATGTAAAATGGTGCAGCTGCTTTGAAAAACAGCCTGGAAGTTCCTCAAAAAAGATTAAATATAGAGTTACAATATGAACCAGCAATTCTGCTCCTAGGTATATTTCCAAGAGAAAGGAATACATATGTCCACAGAAAAATTGGTACATGAATGTTCATAGCAACATAGAGCCAAAAAGTAGAAACAACCCAAAAGTCCATCAGTTGATGAAGGGAGAAACCAAATGTGGTACATCCATACGATGAAATATTATTCAGCTATAAAAAACAATAAAGTACTGATACATGCTACAACATGATGAACTTTGTAAAATCATGTTAAGTGAAAGAAGTCAGTCATAAAAGACCACATATTGTCTGATTTCACTTATATGAAATATCTAGAAGAGGCAGATCCACTGAGACAGAAAGATTAGTGGTTGCCAGGACCTAGGGAGGGGAGAATGGAGTGTATCTGCTAATGAGTTTCTTTTTTTAATCACAATTTTTTGAATGGATTGAGTTTCTTTTTGAAATGATGGACATGTTCTGAAATTAGTCATGGTCATGGTTGCACAACCTTCTGAATACACTAAAAACCACTGAGTTATACACTTAAAAAGGTGAATTTTACGGCATATGAATTACAGTACAATATCATATATATATATCAAGAAGTGTTGAAGCAGGCAATGACAATACAGTGTAATAAATAAGCTTAGAATGCCTGGCGTGTTGTAAGCACTCAATAAATATTTGTTGAATGAACGAATGACTAAGTGCTATGAGAGAGAAAGAGTGCGGTGCTGATGGAAAGATAGGAGACAGACACAAACACAATGATTCCAAGCTGAGACCTGACAGATGAGTTGGAGATTAGCCAGACAGGGAGGTAGGGTGGGGACAACTGTGTTGCAGGAAGAGAAGAATATTCCAAGCAAAAGGACTAGCATGTTTGAAGGTCCAGAGGTTTGAGAAAAAGGCCTGTTCTAGGAACTGAAAGAGGCTATACTGCTGGAATGAGACGAGGTGGGAGCCAAAGATCAAACTTCAGGGGCAGGCAAGAGGGTCCTGTGAGCCATGGTAGGGATTGGGGACCAAGTTGCAAGGGGATGGGGAGTGTGGAAAGACTTATCAGCATCCTTATCCTTAATAATAAGAATGGCACTCATGGGCAGCCTTCCTGCTGCCAGAACAACTTCATGTGATTCTCTGAATAAATCACACCGTAAAAAAAAAAAAAAAAAAGAATGGCACTTAGGATGTGCCAGAGTTAGTGCAAAGTTCTTTAAATGAATTTGACATTTAATTCTACTAAGAAACTTGCCCCCTTCCCAAATAAAGATCTATATGTTTCTTTGCTTATACATGCATAAATTGGATGGATACATGAAACATCCTAGTGGTCCCCTGGGGGGAGCAGTGGGAACTGGGGGGTTGGGTGACAGGATGGGTGAAAAACATTTTGTTTCTTATAATCCTTTTTTTTTTTTTTTTTTGAGACAGAGTCTGGCTCTGCTGCCCTGGCTAGAGTGCCGTGGCGTCAGCCTAGCTCACAGCAACCTCAAACTCCTGGGCTCGAGCGATCCTCCCGCCTCAGCCTCCCAAGTAGCTGGGACTACAGGCATGTGCCACCATGCTCGGCTAATTTTTTCTCTCTATATATATTTTTAGTTGTCCAGATAATTTCTTTCTATTTTTAGTAGAGATGGGGTCTCGCTCTTGCTGAGGCTGGTCTCGAACTCCTGACCTTGAGCAATCCACCTGCCTCGGCCTCCCAGAGTGCTAGGATTATAGGCATGAGCCACCGCGCCCAGCCATTATATACCTTTTTGTGCTTTAATGTCGGGCCATGTAAATTTAGATAGATAAAATACATACTATGTGTACACTAAAAGGTCACACACCCAGTAGGAGCAGAACTGGGCTTCTAAGCTTTACAGTGAACACGCTCATCAGGGAAATCTTCAGATGACAATTTTGTTTTCTCTGTGTGTTTTCCAAAGAGGTGAAAAAGATTAGATCTGCTTAGCAGCTATATTTCTTCCTGTAAATTAATCATTTGGCCTGAAGGTTTATATTCCAGTCTACTGGTTATTATAAGCCTGCCTCTCTCACATCTGTCTGGCACCGCTCAACAGCTGAGATCTTGCACTGCAAAGGCGAAGCCCCCTCTCTCGCTCTTTGGAATGTGATGACATTAAGCTTCAGTGCCCTATGGGACCCTGAGTGGCAGCCTTTCTCAGGAAATGCCCTTGTTATCTCCTTGTAAACTTACAATAAAACCCACTGACCCACCTACCACAAGAGTCAGGAGAAAGAGCTGATCAAATCTAAAATTGGTGCTGCCAAAGCCCTTTGCAAATAGGAGTGTATAACCACGCTGCAAAGCCCAGGACCTGCGTGGTTTAGGAAACAGGGAAAATGGCTTGTTAGGGCCTACTGCTGGGAAGTGTGGGAAATCTGTGGCCCCCTCCCTGTCTCTATTAGCCAGAGGATGGGGAGGACTTCCCATGGCTTGAGGGGCCCTCCTTACCACCTTAGTTGGGGGTGGACAAATGTCTCCCAGTGAGAAACTTCCTCCCAGTCTCTCTCAGAGCTCTTTACATTTTTATTGTTTTGCTTGAAAAGAGAAAATTTAAACAGAGAAATGGAGTTAATAAGCAACCAAATGTCTATGACGAGGAGGCTGAGCATGTGAGCACATCCATAAATATTTGCTGATTGATGAGAGGGAACCTTTGGCAGGGCAGAGGTTCAAGGTTCCCAGATGGAAAGGGACTGGGCAGTCAGGTAACTCCACATTCTGCAGAGGAGCAAACAGAGGACTAGAAAGATAAACAGTCATGTTCATACTGCATGGCTAGCAGCTGCTAAGAGCCAGCCAAGGCTCTGGATATCTGGGCCTGCTACATCCCTTGCTTTCCTGTGGCTTGGCGAGCAAGTGTCCATCTGAAAAGACATTGTCCTGTGATAAGGGACCTGTGGCCTGGTCAGCAAGATGAAGTCTATTTGACAAGGGACACCCACCGATCCCCAGCCTCTGATTCAGACAGGACATTGACATGTGGATCTCAGAGGCAGACAGCAAGGAAGAAGCAGCCAGAGAGCTCTCAATTTTGCTCTAGAGTCCCCACACTTTTGTGACAGTGTCATGATATGATTCTGTGGGTGGGACACAGTGTGGGCAGGAAATGCAAAGGAAAGGCCTGAGGAGGCAACTGGAAAGGTGTTCGTGCTCCCTTTCCCCAAAATTCTGCCAGGCCTTTTCCCTTTTAAGAAAGAAAACGTTGAAGTCGGGCGTGGTGGCT